TCATGATGCTGCCACCACCGTGCTTCATCATGACGCTGCCACCGCCGTGCTTCGTCATGACGCTGCCACCGCCGTGCTTCGTCATGACGCTGCCACCGCCGTGCTTCGTCATGACGCTGCCACCACCGTGCTTCATCATGCACCACCATGCTTCATGTCATGACGCTGCCACCGCTGTGCTTCAGATTCAGATTTAATTTGAGTCTTTCTCTTTGTCTCCTGTGAAGCTGTGACTGGTGAAGAACAGCCAGTCTCTCCATCTCTTCTTGTAGCTCCTTCAGAATCATGATCACAGTTGGTCTGACTAAATCTGCTTCGTCTGTGTCGGACTGTCCCGTCAGTTTGAGGTGGTGAATCTTACAGAAGTGCATTTTGCTTCTTCTTTTTTTTCTTTAGCCTGCATTTGTTAACTTTTGTTTATTTTATTCTTGTAATGAAAAGCGTACAGAATTAGCTTGTTGGATGTTCTGATAGCTTTCACTGGATTCCACTGAAACCAAACTGTAGATGTCCACTATGAAAGGTGGAAAGGTCTCCAGATGTTCTTTTCCTGTTGTGAATGCAGTGTGCTTCGTAGAACCGTGGCTCTACAGTGTACAAAGCAGAACGGCACCAGAGGAGGCAGGTCTTCGGCTTGTCTCTGACGTTCTGCAGCTTCTCCAGGTCTTCTTTGCAAACTTCTTTTTCCTCTCGCCTGCATCCTTTCACTTTGTGTGCAGCTCGACTTACAGAGCAGCAGCACCAGTGTGTTCTGGCTCGTTTGGTGGACATGTTGTCCTCCTGTGAGGTACGTATGGATGTGTGCACGTCGCTGCGTTTCCTGTTTCTGTGTTGTAAAGTTTCTGTTGTTTCCGGCTGTGAAGGCGGCTCCGCCACATCGTAGGAGATGCTTTGTAAATGGCGCCGTGCTGTTAAACGTGAACTCATTGAGCAGCATCAGCGTGACTGTTGGTATCTAACGCAGCGACCAGCGTCCACAGGAACATGCACTGTTTGGTATTTCCTCAAATACAGCTGAAAGATGTCACCAATCCAGACCTGCTCTGAGTCTTCATGCTCATGTGGTTCACGGCTTTTCAGCTGAACCGGGTTCTGTGTGGTCTGGACAGAGAAACTGAAATGATCCTGGTTCATGCTGCCCCTTGGTTCCACCTTTAGTACACAGTAAACTGTGAAATGCATTCAGCGTGGTTTTGGTGTCTCTGTGTTCATCTAGTTAATAAATGAACTAGTTTCTGTTCTGACCGCCTGGTTCACTGTGAACATGTGAAATATGTTCAGACAGCCTTCCTCCACTAGGTGTCATGGCAGCGTTGTCAGACTGATGTCGACTCAACATCAGCTTGAGTTCTGTTTCTAGAACAGCAGACACACAACAGCGACGATGACAGAACGCCGAATCAAGAATCAGAAGGTAGAATACTCGTATGTGAATGAAACCAAACAGCTGTAACCCAACCACAGGCAGCAACATCCAGACCGACAGGCCGTTTGTTTTTGGTAGAAAGGATTTTCTCTGACTGCTGATTTTGCCAAATTTAAAATGAAATGTGTTCAAACTTGTCTGTTGTCTCGAGGCTCAGGCAGTTCAAAGATGAGGTTTTTGTTTTAAATTGTAGACGTTCAAATTTCCATCTGTTCAACATTTTAAATAAAAAAAGGCGCCCAGGTCGTATCCTCTGTCTGTGGTGTTGGTTTGGAGCAGAATTCAGGCCCACTGAAGGCTCCTGGTCCTGTCAAAGACACAGGAGCTGTTAATCCCATCAGTGCTAATGATTTGATTCAGATTTGTTTGTACTGTTTGCTATAGCTTCACTGATTCCTCCTGTTTGGTTGAAATACTGATAATCTATAGAAAAATCACAGAGATAAGGTTCACATGACAAATCTGTATTTTCACTGAAAGTAATTTGATTTTTCACGATTAATGTCCGTAAGAATAATTCTGTTTTACTGTGTTTAAATCAACAAAAAGTTATTTCACAGAAATTTGCTGTAAAAAGAAAAGTGAATGTTTTCTATGTTAACGACTGAATCATTTCATAGATTTTTACCTGTTTTTTGGAGTCACAAAAAATCACAGATAAAAAGTAAAAAAAAAAAAGTAGATTTGCTTTTTGAATGTTAAAGAAAAAATCGGGTTAAAACTGTCAATGACAGTCATATAATAATAATAATGAGTTGATCCTAAAATGCACACAGTTTAACTGCATTTAAATGAGCTGAACTCTGCTTTTGTTTCCACCTGTTCTGCCACATTGCATTTAGGAGACATGAACGTGTTTATAATGAACATGGCTTTTGTTTTATAGCTTCACTGTCACGCTTCTCGAGCCAGCCAATCATGTATTAGATGGATCCGTCACCCCGGTAACCAAACTCTGATATCTTCTGAACTCAACAAAGTAGTTTCAGCTCCGGATCCAAACCAAACAGAGCGAAATGAAGCGAAAGGCTCAGAACAGTTCTGGGACGTTCATGTATGGAGTCAGGACCAACAGGAGGTGTGCAGGAGACGCAAAGCGACACAAAGAGACACAAAACAACCAGACAAAGGTAGCACAGACACAAAATCAATGCAAAAAGATGCAACAGAACCACAAAGAGACACACAACGACCACAGAGAGCAACACAATCACCAAAAAAAAAACAACACAGGAAAAAAGACAAAAGCCCCAGAATAAGAAAGGTTTGTTTTTCTTAGGTCATTCTGGAAAATTATTTTTTCTGACAGTTTTTATTTGTCGTTTTCTTTCTTATTTTTTTCTTTCTTTCTTTTTTTTTAAAGACTTTTCATCGTATCGGACATTTTATTATATTTTGTGCGTTTTAAATTATTTTTGACCTTTTTCCGGTTTGTGTCTTTAGTTTGAAAGGCACCACCGGATGTATGGCTGCTCGTCGCTGGGAACTTGACGTGAACGAGCCGCTGCGTTCCTGCGCGTTGGCTCAGTTTGGACGCGGGTCGCGAGCGGAGCGCCGCGGACGCGTCTCTCTGCTTCAGCATCCATGGAGCGCAGCGGCCTCGTCTGGGCCGCGGACCGGGAACCAGGGCTTTGACTGGACCTGCGGACCAACATGGGGAGTTTGCTGGTTTTCACCGTGTGCCTGTGGACGTGTCCGCTGCTGGTGAGTCGGTTCTGCTGCTGGTCTCATCCACTGGGGCTCTGGTTTGCGCTGCGTAAAGCTCCAGCGGGAGAATGTCCTCCTGAGCACTTCTCTGGGTTTCTTTTTCCTCCAGTCTGCTCCGTTTGTTTGGTCCAAAACATGTGAGGAAGAAGTGACAGGTGCTCCTCAAAGTTTCCCACAGTCCTGTCAACGAAAAGGGATTCTGTTTTAGCCAATCAGCTCCTCAGCTAAAGAGGAAGAACCAGACGTTGACGGTGCTGATCTGAGGTTCGCTCGGTTCTCAGGCTCCAGTTACTGTGAACGACTTTTGGGTCAACGGATCCATCAGAGCTGCAGTTCGGCACTCGGTTCGACAGAAGCAGAAACGTTCTGTCAGACTTTGTCAAAGCAGCCCAGTATTCACGTCTTCTGTTCACAGCGAAGTTAAAAAGTTCCTGCAACACAGGGGATGACTGTGTTGTTTCTTTCAGAAGAGAAGACCAAGAACCAGACCAGTTGCTTTCTGTGTCCACAGCAGTCGGACCGCGAACCCACTGCTCTGTGCCTGGAAAGCTGATGTTAGTTTTGAGGAGAACCTGTGGGAAGAGATCCTCCGTCATCCACAAATGATGAATTCATCATTAGAAAAGCAGACTCTGCAGTCCCACCACAGGTCTACAACCTCCAGATATCCGGCGCTTGGTCTGCTCACCGGACACACCTGAGGAGTGATCAGTGACCCGGTGCTGCAGTGCAACCTGCAACCAGCTGCCGCACCCTGTTAAAGAGCTGCAGCCTTTCACGAGCCTCCCTGTGTGAGCTGTATGGCTGTGAGAGTGACAGTCTGCAGGGCTGTGCTGTTTATACCAGGGATCTCCAGCTCCGGTTCTGCTGAGGTCCTGCAGGTTCTAGACGTCTCCGTACTGCAACACCCCTGACTCACTTGAATGGATCACTAACAGAGTTGTGTAGAACTTGACAACAAGCTGCTGGAGATCCATTAATGTAAATCAGGTGTGTTGCAGTACGGAAACGTCTAGAACCTGCAGGACGGTAGCTCAGGAGAACCGGAGCTGCAGATCTCTGGTTTATAGTAAGAGCAGAAATATGTCGCCTCAGCATCAACACTGTGAAGTGACTCAGACACTAGTTTGTTTTCGTTGCTCCATAGGAAGAGTTCCCATGTTCCATGATTAACCCCCCAGAGGAGTCCGTCTGATAGATCGTCATGTTCTCCTAATGTGAGGGTTCCTGGATGCAGAGATTGATTGATTTAAGTTGATTTAAAGAGTTTGCTGACGTGCAGCTCCACGTGTGCAGCAACTTCAACAGAAATTCTGGGAAAAAATGAAGATTTTGCTACAGAATGAAATCAGTTGTCTGGAAATATTTGACAGAAAGGATGATGTTGACCACAAGCAGGTTCTGTGTTTGTACTTTGAAGTGAGGCTCAGAAATGATGAGAAAGTCCATCAAAGTGATCAATCTGGACCCTCCTCGTAGATGGAGGCTTTATTGTCATTGTACAAAACACTTTTGTGGTAACTCACTGCAGCAGTGCAGTACAAAACACTCTGAAAAAATTAAATGGATTTAAAAAGAATTGGCTCATATACTTATGTACACAGAGCACAGGACAACTAGCAGCTAGCAGCGGCGCGTGTAGACGGGCCGTATGAAGGCAGAACTCCTCGTTAGATAAAGTGGCTGTTGATGAAGAACCAGATGTTCTGAGAAGTGGATGAAACCAGAAAGAAAACATGCTGCTGGGAATATTCACGTCTCCTCCAGCGACTCGACTCCATCCTGACTGAAGACCTCATTCTGCAGCGTCACCAGGAAAATGAGGCCGAACAGTTTTAAACTCTAAAATCTGATGAACGGAACTCCAGATGAAGATAAGATTAGAGGGGACGCTCTGCTCCGACGATGACGTTACGCTGAACTCGCTGAGCGACCGAGAAACCCTGGAGCAGATGGCAAAGCCGAATCGGAGGTCAGCAGATCTGAATGTGGAGAAGCTGAGGCCTGAAGGTCAGAGCAGGAGGCTTGTTGCAGGACCAGCTGGAGAAATGAATGAGCAGCAGTCAGTCTTCAGTTGCTCTGCTGCCACCCTTGAGCAAGGCACTGAACCTTCAGCAGATCTGGCCCCAGTCTCTCAGCAAGAAAACAGGATGTTAGAGACAGCAGAGGCCGACGTCGAGACAGTTCATGACTCAGCAGTTCCTTCAGTAGATCCAAACCAAGCGACGCTTTCGAGTCCTCTGAGCTGCAAACAGGGAGCTTTTTTATTTACCATATAATTCACATTTAAAGGTATTAAAATAGTCCAACGATGGACAGCTGAAAATCCTTGTTAATGTTCTGTTGGTGGAACCTTGTTGTAAAGCTCCAGCAGAACCCTGTCTGAATGTAGAGTTAGAGGGTAGATGTAG